ACTTGTACTAGTTATAGTAGTTATACTATTTTCAGAAAAAAATCAGCTTCATCTTTTTGCTTTCAAGGCCTAAAAATTTGATGCGGAATCAGAAAAATTCTTCAGAAGTGCGAGTCACCAGAAAGAAGAATAATGAGGGAGCATCAGTGACAACTAAGGTCTCCTTTCGCTTCGAATATATAGCTTTTGGGGTTACTTTTGAAAATTTATGTTCTTTATATAATTTATGTTCCTTTTGGTACTAAAACTTATGTTTCTTGTCATGTTAAACTTGTTTTTATATCTTTTGAAACTATCAAAACTTATGTTCCTTTTGAAAATTTTATCTTGTATGGAAAAATTATGTTTAGTTTAAATATACATGTATATTGGTATAAGTATAACTAATACAACATATTCAACTAAGCAATAATATTTAAGAATGACACAACTAGTACAACTACTTGGCATTTAGTGTTTAACCAAAATTGTTAAAACATGATCCACATTTAAAAAAATATAAATAAAATAACAAATAATTGCATCAGTTTTTTAGCTGTACTTGACTATACATAGTTGTACTAGTTTTTTAGTTGTACATGACTATACATAGTTGTACTAGTTTTTGAGTTGTACCAGTTTGTGCATAGTTGTACTTTGGCAATGAAATAAAAAAAAATTAGTTGTACCACATAATAAGTGCACTTACCTCAGTTGTACCACTTATTTTTGTTTACATACATTTGCCCAGTTACAATGAAATCACTAAATTTGTAAAAGTACATTTCATGTATGTTTTCTTAAAATTATGTGGACAAACAATTTAACATACTTTAAAATTATAAGGTAGATTATCTAAACTTATGGAGTTTTGTAATGATTTATAAAAACAATTTATACAAAACTTCAAATTAGATTAAAGAAACTCTATGAGTACATAACAATTAGTATATTTGATTGTTTTCTCATATGGAATACCAAACTGGTTTTTTTGAATTCTGAAATGTCAAAGTTATACTAGTTGTACCAGCAATACTCATCTAATATAAAATATATATATTGTTTATAAGTCTAGTTTTTTGAGTTGTACTAATATTTTTACAACATGGTTTTTGTAAGAATATATCTAATGTTTGTTTTCATAATAATACAACTAATGTAGTTAATAAGCCTTAAGTATAAAGTATATAATGTAAACTAAGAACGTAATATAATAATTTAACAAAAAAATTGAAAAACTTTAGAAAAAATAGATGAAATATTGTCATTACATACCAATTAGTATATTTACTTGTATATTTTATGCAATCAGTGTTACGAGGGACCATAGCTACCAATCTTATCTGGTGAATGGGGGTCTGAGCTTCATAACTTATTATGTTATAAATATAAGGTATGTAATGTAAAACTAATGTAACAATGTAATAGTTGTAAGAGTTTTTGAGTTGTATCGGTTTTTACATAGTTGTACTAGTTTTTGAGTTGTACCAGTTTGTAAATAGTTGTACTAGTTTTTGAGTTATACCGGTTTGTACATAGTTGTATTTTGACAGTGAAATCAAAAAAACTAGTTGTACCACATGAAATTTAAACTTACCTCAGTTGTACCACCTTTTTATGTGCACATATGTCTTCGCTTAATCCAATGAGATCATCGATTTTGTTAAAATGCATTTCATATATGTTTTCCCAAAAATATGTGGACAAAGAAGTTAACAAACCTTAAAAGTATAAGATATATCATATAAACTTATGGAGTTGTGTAATAATTTTCAATTTTTTTTTTTGAAAACTTCAAATATATTAGGAGAAAAAAATCTGATTACATACCACTTTGGATGTTTGATAGTGTTCTCATATGGAATACCAAATTGGTTTGCCAATTTTTGAAATGTCTAAGTTGTACCAGTTATACCAATAATATTCGTTTAATATATAATAAAAAAATTATAACAATTATATCAATTGTTTATATGTTTAATTTTAGAAGTTGTACCAATATTTTCATAATAATATAACTAATTTACTTAACAAACCTTAAATATAATATATATATATAATGTAAAATTAAGAGTGTAATGTAATAATTTAACAAAAAAATTAAAAACTTCAAATAAAATAGATGAAATTTTGTCATCAGATACCAATTAGGATATATGTTTGTTTATTTCATATATGTAAAAAATGATTATTAGTCGTTTCAATTATAGTAGTTGCATATTGTACATGAATTATAACATTTATATATTAGTTATACTAGTTATATCAATTTTTAACATTTTTAGTTATACGAGTTATACTAGTTGTACCTAGTTTTCTCTCATCATCCGACGGCTCAGATTACATATCGCATTATCTAATCTAATGGTTCACATTGAACTCTCATTAATGGTAAAATGGTCATTTTACACCATTTGATCCATGATAGATTTTTTTGGATGTTGTAGATTAGTTTTGGGTGTTTTGTCCCATAATAGATTTTTGACGTGATTTAAGGTCCAACTAGGTGACCGGTCCGCACCCTGTGCGGGAATAAGTATGTTCAAAAAATTATTATAATAGTGTATCGGTTTAGAAGTGACGGACTGTAAATCATCATACTACCATGTTTTGGAGAAACCCTACACCATGGAGAAAAGCCGGTACTCAATATTTGACATTGTATGAGAGGGTATAAAATAACGCACATGGTGCGAGCAGTTATTGTGTGTATGTATAATTGCAAAGTCTCAAAACTATTAGTGTGTTTTACGAAAATATTTTCATTCGTCATCTAATGGATTTGCTAAGACTTCTTATAAATAGTGTACAGTTTTAGATTTAACAGATTTTATATTATCCTTTGTAATTAGAATTGTATTGTATATATGTTGTAATTTTTATTTTTAGGTGAATAATAGTATTATGTTTAATTTTCATAATTATTTCTATACACATATTAAAAGAAAATATAATAAATTTCAAAATAAGCTCCCAAAATCAAATTAAAATTAATATCCATAAATAATATAAATTTATGAAGTACAAAATCTCGATAAAGGTGTAGCAAATCCATTAGACACCTGCAAAAAAATATTTTAGTTTGTAATCCCTAAGACCGGATAAATTTTTGTGATAGATATAAAATAACTTCTGCAATTTATTGTATGTATATAAATATACATAACTATTAACTATAAATATTAATTATTGTATATGTAAATAATATTAAATTCCATACCGTCATAGAAATAGGCAGAATGATGGATGGTAATGCAGTTAAATCTCTCTGGTACCTCATCAGTATTCATCTTCCAATACCTTGTCAAAAAATAATTGTAAAAGTTTATAAATCAAGTAGGGTTTCAGTGAAATCTTGATGGACAAGTAAGGATGACCAGAGCTTTGATACGCAACGACATCTAGCTATCGCTTTCGAGGGCAACCTCGAAACTATCTTGATTATGAGATCACGTGGGATTGTCTCTGATTATTCCTCGGTGGATATTCGTGAGTGGCATTGAAGGATTCGTGATTTCATGGCGGTTGATGATTGTTTGTAAACCCTAGCTAGTTTGTTTCGATTACGTGTTGAAACGATTTTAATATCTGCAACAAAACGAAAAAGTCTCTAAAAAGTACTTTATATTAGGTGCTGATATATATGTAATTAAATGAACATGATTAGGTAATATATGATAGTATTAAATTTTAATTATTTAATTTTATCAAATACATTTTTTTCTTGTTTTAAAGTTCATCTACTATTGACAAAAAAAAAACAAAGTTCATTTACTAATATTTTAGCAACAAGAATTTGTCGTTTTTTCATAAGAAGGGTGCAGGATTCATGACTATTGAACATATTATTCAGTATAAGCTCGATATATATACAAACAAAGAAGCGGACAAAAAAAAAAAAAAATATACAAACAAAGAAGACTAAGACTTTCTTGCGGTGCACGTAAACTCTGCCTAATGAATGTGTTTGATGATAAATCATTTCCCACTAACTTATTTTCTCATGCTATTAGTTTTAAAATCAACGTTACTGAGTGGGAAGGAATGTGAAAATTCCAAGTTATATATAATGAGAGTTACTGGGATGAAGAAGAAGTTCAAGTATTCTTCTTTTTTATGCAAATTGTTTAACGTCGGGTAATGCATCATTGAATACGAAAAGACTAAAGACGTTTAAGCAAACCAACACATAATAAACTGATGCATCAAAGATCACATTCTAAACTTCTCTGTTTTGGTTTAGTATATACATTTGTAAAGAGTACTCTGTAAGTCTGTAACAAGAAGAAAGTCTGTAACAAGAAGAAAGTCCACAACAGGTGGACTTTTTCAAACTAAGACGCTAGAAAAAAAAAACGAAAGACACAAAATGAAAACAACACTTGTCTCTCACTTATAAAATGCTTAAAAAGCTTCACATTCTCAACGTAGTTGAGATAGGTTTTGAAACTATTACCCTGAAGCGCTTCCAGTCCTTGGATTCCAACTTTTCTAATCGTCTTGCTCTCCACGTTGAAGTAGATGACATAGTAAGGCAATTCTTGGTAGCTAGGGGCCAAGACGACTTCGTTTACACCCAGTGGCGGACCTAGGAAACAATTAAACAGGTGTCAAAAATTAATCAATAACAAAAACTGGTGTCAAGGGGAGTTGAACCCTGGTTTTTAGGGGTGACACTAAGCAACTTTTACCATTAGTCCTACTGATTCCTTCTTGTTTCACCATACATTTCACAAAATTTATAGATTTAAGGGGTGTCACATGACACCCCATTCTACTGAATAGATCCGCCACTGTTTACACCAACCATTCCAGCAATGTGCATGGTTTCTGTAACCACATCCTCCCACGAAGGTGGTAATACGTATACATGATTAGACCACTCGTGTTTTGCAGCGTCAAGCAGAACCCACAGCTCAAAACTTGAACTTGCTCCATTAACAACACCAGAATCTCCCGACATAAGCAAACCAAGTTTGCCACTGTAGTTTACAAGAGTCGTTGAACGAGGCATTGCTTTACTAAACTTTGATTGGTTTTGGGATTGAAGGTTCTTGGGGAGGTGTTTTTAGTTGTTGTTCAAAAAGGGCACTACGAGAAGCAATGGCTGACGACTTGGGAGCAAGCTTTGAGGAATCAGGAGTAACAGATCTAGGGTAGAGTTTCCTAACTACAGGAGGAGGAGTTGAGAGGTTTCTTGCATTTTGGCTCTCGAATGTTGCTGCAAGTGCATTGAACGCTGGAGATCTTCCCCTCACGCGTACCCTATCTGGACTAAACGACATGCTTCTTGACCGCTGCTGTGACTTGTCTGGAACACTGGCACTATGGCCACCATATGAAGCTGGAGTTCTTCTTTTCGGTTTCTAAATCATCAAAGCAGCAACCAAAGAGAGAAATGAACAAAACAAACTCTGAATAATCATCAACAAGAAGGAATGCATGAAGAATCTTCACCTCTGCAACTGGAGTTCCACCATTTTTGACTATTCTAAGTTTTCTCTGGAATGAGTTTCCATGCATCTATAAAAAAAAATAGAGCGTTTACTCCTTTTCAAGACTGATTTGTTTCAGTATATCTGAGAGAAACCAATTGAAGGTGTTCGGTACTTACAGAAGACTTTGAGGAATCCCAAGAAGTGAAAAACCGGGTGAAGAAACTTGGCTCACCACCTTCCATGATCACCTATATAGGGGCTTCAGGGGATAAATTCTCCAGGAGAGAATCTTTTTCAATGAATTTCTAAAGAAACAAAAGGCATAGATGAGCAACTTCAAAAAAAATTTCAGAATCAAGACTTTTAACAGTGTTTCTAATGAATCTGACCTCTCCAATGGTTAAGGCTTGTAACTTGTTTTTGGGGACTACTTCTTGGCCAACCCATACGAAGATCTCTGAGTGGCAGTCTACTATAAATATATCTTCTGTCATCAAGTCATCCTGTGTGAAGTTGTATATCTCTGTCACCTGCCAAGCGATCACATAGAAAAAAAATTTGGACTTAGCCATAGGCCAAAGCATTTTCCAGTTATGAGTGCATAAGTCTTTGGTGATAGACAGTTAACGCACCTTCAGAGTTTCTGGATTATTTTGCATTTCAGCAATGGAAAAGAAAAGGAAACAGAATCATTGTGTGCATAGAACAGCTTAAGCTTAAACTTTTATTGAAAAAATTAATGATCTTCTGTACCTTTAGTGAATGTGCAGGAGAACAAGTGAGGATCACTCTCAGGCTCTTTAGTGAGCTTTTGGCTCGAATATTCGGTTTTGCCTCCTAATAACTCCCAGAACTGTTCTGATTCTGAACCTTCCTTTTGTGCTCTAGTTTGTAGGTTTGGCTGCACAAAAATAACATAGCAGATTCTCCTTCAGCGACACTCAAATCATAACTAAGGCCTTGATATAAAACATAATAGACTTATCCCCATAGCAATTAAGAAGAAACTCAATCTTACCTTAATAAGATCAAGCTGCCTCTCAACAAGTTCCTGATCAGTTGAGGTTGCTAGATTCCCAGTCCAAGTAAAGACAGAAGAACCATTATGTAGTATGTAACAGTATGAGGAGTTAAGTGATGAAGCAACCTGTAGACGTTAATCAAATGGTTATCACTATTGAATGATTATAAAGGTTTTGAAGGAAGACGAATGTTAAAATGACATATACCGGGTCAACTTGTATTGCTTGCATATTTTCCGGACCAGTGCCTTGAATGCGGAACAGAGCAAGACCATTCTCATTGTATGTATCATCATCAAATTCTTTCTCTGCTATGTATTTCTTGTATCCACTGCTAACACCACCCTATAAAGATTCAACCACAACACAAACAAAATCAGCAGTTGTGTGTCTTTATAAACAAGAATATGGATGATAAAATAAAACTACAGCCAAACCTTGAAAACGATAAAACTTTGCATAATGACGAAGAACTGAACTGGTTCCTTTCCTTCATAGATGCGAGCCTAAAGACAAGAGAATGAAAATGTTCAGAAGAAAAAAAGCATATAAGATACTTTTGGAATCTGTCGAAGAAGATTACTTGGGCTGGTACAAACTTCATTGACTCAACCATTTTGCTCGCCATAGAGACTGCAGACTCTTTGTATATATATTGTCAATCTTTCCTAATGGTATGAGATTGACATATTTGGCATTTAATTTCCAACTTCTTTCGTAAGTTAGCGAATATAATGTAAGGTAAGTAAATAACCTAACATAAATTTTGTTTCTCTGACATTTAAAATATTTAATGCGTGGATATTCTTTGAATCGAGAAAACACAAAAGGTAAGTATTTAAATGGATTTCCTTTTTAGTAGTGTCGATGGTAAAAATAAATAAAAAAATAAATTCTAAAAAATCAACCAATAGAATCGCTAGAATTCTTCTGAGAATGGCTGTGTGAGTGTCACGTGTCAAAGTGACTTCTCTTTTAATATATAGGAGGATAATTACACTTTAGCCCCCAAAATTTACAAAAAAAAAAAAGCAGACTCGGCTTTCCAACGGGCCTTATATGTTTATAGTGGGCTGATCCCCTGATAAATGATATGTGAGTGAAATAGCTAATGGTGAATTGTGAGATGCGATGAAGAAGTTAGAGGCGAAGCTATGAGAAATTTAGAATGTAGTTGATACTCTTTTTATTTTATTTTATTTTTGTTCCTTATCTTTTGTATATTGGTTAGAAACATACACAACGTGATCGTTCGTGCAAGTATAAACAAATAAAAATTTTGCATTGTATAAACTAGTTAGCATTAGACTGCTAGGCAGAGATTAAATTACAAGGTCGCTCTCCCCACAGTTGGTGATATATATAAGTCAATGTGATGCATGTAATGACCGGATGTTGACTTTTCAATCTCTCTTTTTTTTTTTCTTTATATTTGTATGTTGAAATGTTATCCATCAAGTTAGGTTATCAAAAGGACAAAACAAGAGAGTAATAAAAGAAGGTATCTTGATCGTGAGGCTATGGTGGGTGACAAGTGACAAATAGCATGTCGAAGTACCTTATAGGGTGCTCGAGACAAGCGAGCTTCCTGCAGAGACTCTGCTTTGGAGATGCAGGTATAAATAATATCGACCGTTTCTGTTCTTTGAAATATCTTAGAGTAGAATCAGTAGAATCAGTTGTTGTATTATGAAAGCAATAGCTCGATATTTATACAAGGAAAACATCCTAAGATGATAAGGACTTAGAACAATATAATCATTATCCTAAACTAACTAGGACTTATCTCCAATACTCCCCCTCAAGTTGGAAGTGTGAGATTACGAACACCCAACTTGGACATCANTGAAATATCTTAGAGTAGAATCAGTAGAATCAGTTGTTGTATTATGAAAGCAATAGCTCGATATTTATACAAGGAAAACATCCTAAGATGATAAGGACTTAGAACAATATAATCATTATCCTAAACTAACTAGGACTTATCTCCAATACTCCCCCTCAAGTTGGAAGTGTGAGATTACGAACACCCAACTTGGACATCAGTTCTTCAAAATGAGGACGAGGCAAGGCTTTGGTGAGGAAATCAGCAAGCTGATTCTTCGAAGTCACATGTTCAGTAGTGATAAGCTTGGATGTAACAGCATCGCGTACATGGTGACAATTCCTTTCAATATGTTTCGTTCTTTCATGAAAAACAGGGTTGGCAGCAATGTATAGGGCAGATTTGCTGTCACAATAGAGCTTCATAGGTGCAGGATGTGGAATTGTGAACGATTCTAGAAGACCCTTTAACCACTTGAGTTCCTTGAGAGTGTCAGACATGGAGCGGTATTCAGCTTCAGCGGATGAAAGAGCGACAGCATCCTGTTTCTTCGTTCGCCATGTTACCGGAGAATCACCAAGAAACAGAATGTATGCACTGAGAGAACGTCGAGAAAGAGGGCAAGCTGACCAGTCCGAATCACAGAATGCACTGATCTGTAGGTCGCGTTTAGCACTCAAGAAAATTCCCTGTCCTGGAGTACCTTTCAGGTAACGTACGACTCGCAACGCCGCTTCCCAATGTGGTAGTAACGGCTTTTGCATAAACTGACTCAAAATGTGCACTATATAACCAAGATCCGGCCGTGTAGTTGTTAAATAAATGAGACGCCCAACTAGTCGTCGGTATTGATGCGCATTAGCTAGTGGACCCTCTGCTTTAGCCAACTGATGATTTAACTCCACTGGGACCGGTGACGGTTTAGCACCAAGAAGTCCAGTCTCCGCGATAATATCGAGAGCGTACTTGCGCTGAGAAATATAGAAGCCAGAAGAGTTGCGTGCAACCTCCAGTCCAAGAAAGTATTTAAGCGTACCTAAGTCTTTCATACGAAAGCACTTTTGCAGATATTCTTTGAATTCCTGGAGAGCTGTTGTATCGTTGCAAGCAATGACGAAGTCGTCAACATAAATAAGAATGTGAATGCAGGTGTTTCCACGGACCTTAGAGAAAAGTGATTGGTCTGCATATTCATGTGAAAACCCAAAGTGTAGAAGAGCCGATGTTAATTTTGAGTACCAGCATCGCGGAGCTTGGCGTAGTCCATAGAGTGACTTCTTGAGCCGGCAAACCTTAGTCGGATCAGAACATTTAAACCCTTGGGGAAGTTTCATATATATTTCTTCCTCAAGGTCACCATGAAGAAAAGCATTACTAACATCCATTTGATGAACAAGCCACTTCTTGGATGCTGCAAGTTTAAGAATAATGCGAACTGTAGCTAGTTTCGCAACCGGTGCAAAAGTTTCAGTGAAGTCTTCTCCCTCTGTTTGATTGTTCCCAAGAACCACCAGACGAGACTTGCGGAGTTTTAGAGTGCCATCTGCATTGTATTTATTTGTGTATATCCACTGGTTTCCTAACGCTTTCCTTCCAGGAGGAAGTGTAGTAACATCCCATGTATCAGTGATCTCAAAGGCATGAATTTCATTGGACATTGACTCGCGCCACAATTTATCTTTAACAGCCTCCTTGTATGATCGGGGTGCATTATCATGGACAATCGACGCCATGTACACACGATGCTTTTCTGAAAAGGCATGATCAGAAAGATAACTTGAGATTGGATAAGGAGTCATACCTGAGACCGTTACTGGAGGACCGAGATCAGGTGAGGAGAGAGCGCAAGAGGGTTTATTATTATTATCACTGCTAGCAGAGGATGCAACAAAGTCTTTGAGAAGAATTGATGGAGTCTTAGTTCGATGTCCACGGCCAAGAACTTCAGGTAGGCCAGGTGATGTTGTTTCAGGAACATCCGTGACTGGTGCAGAGGTAGTAGTAGAAGGTGAGATTCGCGGAGGAGAGGTTGGTTCGGGAATAGGTATGTCGTCGGTTTCGGGTGGAGGAGGTGGAGTTTGTGGCAAAGTAGTTTGTGGTGGAGCAGGTGTTGTAGTAGTTGTAGCAGGCGGAATAGGAGCATTACTCCCCCTGGAGTCCATAGCAGGAGGTAGCCAATCATCAATATACGAGTCATAATGGTTAAGTGGTGGTGAAACAAAATCCTCTGTATTGACGCCTGGAAATCTAGATTCAGAGAAAACCACATCACGACTAGAAAAGAACTCACAAGTATCTAGATCGTATAGCAGCCATGCCTTCTTGCCATAGGGGTATCCCAAGAAAATACATCGTCGACTGCGATCACTGAACTTATCTTTGTCTCTGACCTTGCGATGGGCATAACACAAGCAACCGAAAACTCTTAGTTGATCATAATCTGGTTTCTTACCAAAGAGAAGCTCATATGGTGATTTTCCGTTTAGCACTTGCGATGGAGTGTAGTTGATGAGGTGAGAAGCAACAAGAATACTCTCTCCCCAGAATGTAGCTGGTAACCGTGCTTGAAAAAGACATGCGCGAGCAACATTAAGAATGTGTCGATGTTTCCTTTCAACACGACCATTCTGTTGTGGTGTATCGACACAAGAAGTTTGATGAAGAACCCCAAGCTTCTTGAAGAATGGCGATAATACCATGAACTCGGAACCATTATCTGTTCGAATTTGCTTTACTGTCGTTCCAAACTGTTTTTCGCAGAGGGCAAAGAATTGTTGTAGAAGTGTTGATACCTCTGATTTTTCTAACATTAAGTATGTCCAAACTGCCCGTGAATAATCATCCACAATCGTAAGAAAATATCTAGCACCACAAGAAGAAGGAGTACGATATGGTCCCCAAACGTCACAATGTATTAGAGAAAACGGTGCAGAAGCTTTATTAGAACTATCATTAAAACCAGAACGTGTTTGTTTAGCACGAAAGCAAATTTCACATGAAGAAGACTGATCAGAATCAAAACACAACTTGTCTAAAATCGGTAAGGAAGATAAAACACGAAAAGATGGATGTCCAAGCCGTCGATGCCATAGTTCTGATGTAGAAGCATTCCTAGCAGCGGTCCTATTAACACTAGCAGCTGTGACTCCAGTAAAATAATAAACCCCCTCACGTTCTTCACCCGTTCCAATCAGGGTCTTCGTAAAACGGTCCTGCAAGACACAAAGAGTATCAGTAAATATGGCAATGCATCTTGTTTGTTTAAGTAACCGGGACACAGAAATCAGGGTGCAGGTGAAATCTGGAACGTATAACACATCATCTAAGTAGTAATGTTGATTAAGAACCAGTCGGCCCTTTTTAGTAGCTTGAGATCCATGTCCATTCGGAAATTTAACCGATGATGGAAGGATATCAGTGATATTACTTAGTATCGACAGATTTCCTGTCATATGGTNTGTTTAAGTAACCGGGACACAGAAATCAGGGTGCAGGTGAAATCTGGAACGTATAACACATCATCTAAGTAGTAATGTTGATTAAGAACCAGTCGGCCCTTTTTAGTAGCTTGAGATCCATGTCCATTCGGAAATTTAACCGATGATGGAAGGATATCAGTGATATTACTTAGTATCGACAGATTTCCTGTCATATGGTGAGAAGCGCCAGTATCTATAATGACATCAGTGAACTTTGTGTTACCAGACAATCGTTCAGAAGAGATGTTTGATCGTGAAGACTGCAGGAGTTGAATAAGCTGACTGATTTGATCATTGCCGGTAGAAGATACATTGTTGGCGTTG